CTGTAGCTTATCCTGGAGTTTTTATATCAGAGCCAACGTCAAGGAGGGACTCCAGTCTCCAGGACACGCTGTCTTGACGCATGAGACATAGTAAAGAATTTAGAGCAGTCCAAGAACACGTGGCACGGACCTCCATCCCCTTCCCTAGGAATTTACTTTCAGTGCTCTCTTTTGTTTGCTAGCTCATGATGGACTTTTTTTCACTCTACTAAGATAATTTATTGGAATCAAAACTCTTTTCTCTAATTCAAACATACTGTCTCAAATTACATGGCCTCCCAAACGGGACAGCAGGCCAAGGAGTGATTCTGCTTATTTCCTGTGACATTTGGGGACTCTCCAAGGCTAGCTGAGACCATGCTGTGTCATTATCTGATCCCTTGAGGCATGACTTTTGCAGTCTTGGTGAAGGTGACCTCTCACCTTTTGGATGATAATTCAATCAGAGATAGAGCTGCATATAAACTGTCAAATGCAAGACTATCCAAAAAGCTCATGCGTGTGTAGTAGATTTTACTAAGAATTGAGGAGGACATTTTCTTTTCCCTATAATTTCTTTGCGCATCACATCTTTCCAGGGAACCCTGAGCTCTTCACCCCACCTAAGCCCAGCCCCTTTCTTCCTTGCTGGCTACACTCTCCTCTTCCTGTTCTAGTCTTTCCTTTACTCACTACATTGCCTTTAAGAGCAATTAAAATTTCCCTAACAAAGCAATGTAGCACCTATTTTTATCACGTAGCTTTCTGCTGACACATCCTTGTCTTCTCCCCCTCTACTCTGATAGGCATGTCAATGAGTTTTTACAAATATGCACATTTCCCTTGCTATCAAAAATTGGGAGTCAGATGTCAAAATAACAAACCTTTTTAATATCTTTTTATAATATGTTATCCTATTATCTCTACTGCTATAAGAGAGAAGGAGGTTGTATTGAAAACTCTAAGCGTTCAACTAAAGACCGGACACTGTTGCTTTGGAAACTCTGTGGTAAAATTTAGCATAGGAGGAAAGAGGCATGCATCTGAAATTGAACTACACATTTTGCATGACACCACTAGGGTTTTAGTGAAGTTTACAGCCAAGCAGCAGTTGGCCATTCCATGAAGTTTTTCTGGCCCATGAAATACAAGTGTTCCCCGGTGGGAAAATGTGGTGTCTAAAGAGAGTCTGCAGAAGCATGTGAGGGACAGTGGTTTAATTGTCTGGACCTTTTTCACACATTCTGCTAGGGATTTAGATTTTTAAAATCAGGCTATTTTTCTCATACAGAAAGGCAGCTGATTTCCTGGAAATGAGGCTGTTATCAAAGTAACTCTTCATTGCTTTCAGTTTCAATCTGAATTGAAATTTCAATCTGAGACTATCAAAAATAATGATCATAAGTCACGATATCAGCCCTGGCAAGAGTCCCACCCGCAGCTTCCCACATTGACCAGCCTGTTTGTAGAAAGATTTAACGGAGCTGAATGCTGTATCCCTGTTCTTGAAAAACAACAACAAAACGGAGGTGCTGGAACTCTCTTAGCCCCTCCAAAGTGCTTGCATTTCCAGATAGCCTGTTTTAAAATAATGTAAGGTTTAAAGTAATGTAATACTATGTTTTAAAATAAGATATCATGTTTTAAAATAATGTAAGGACCTAGTGTAAGACATTCCAGCCAGAAAAACAATCTCTTAGGTCAATTCAAGGCTATGTGAAATGGCATCTGCTGAAATATAATCCAGACTGAAACTGGAAGCAGTGAAGTCCTATTTAGATAACAGGCTCAATTCTAGGAAATCAGCTGCTTTTCTGTTCTAGCAAAACAAGAACATGATTTTTTTTTAAGATTTTATTTTTTTTCCTTTTTCTCCCCAAAGCCCCCCAGTACATAGCTGTATATTCTTCGTTGTGGGTCCTTCTAGTTGTGGCATGTGGGATGCCACCTCAGTGTGGTCTGATGAGCAGTGCCATGTCCGTGCCCAGGATTCGAACCAACGAAACTCTGGGCCGCCTGCAGCGGAGCGCGCAAACTTTAACCACTCGGCAACGGGGCCAGCCCCCAAAAACATGATTTTTTAAATATTAAAACTTGCAGCAGACTACTTAAAAAGTGTCAGAGGACAACTAAACCACTGTCCCTGAGAGTGCCTGTGCATAGGGTTTATAGATACTTCCTTCCTCCTCTGTCGCCACCTATGTTTCACTGACTAGAAAATTTAATGGCATGTGCAGCTGCTGCTTCGCTGCAAACTCCACCAAAGACCCAGAGCCCTCAATTGTGTGACACAACTGAAGCTGCGTGCCTCTGTCTTTCTGTTACGCCTACCACAGCATGGCTTGATGAGTGGTGCCATGTCCTCGCCCAGGATCCGAACGATTCGGCCCCAGGCTGCTGAAGCTAAATGCGTGCACTTAACTGCTGCGCCACCGGGCCGGCCCTGCAAATGTTTATTATTTGAACATCTCACCCCAAAATTCTTCATAGAAAGGGAAATGTGCATGTTTGTAAAAATTTATTGACATGATAATTAGAGCAGAGCGGGAGAATAAGGACATAAGTCTCAGCAGAAACCTAAGCAATGAAAAATGACTTCAAAATTACTTTGTTGGAGTAATTGTGTTTGTTCCAAAAGTATGGTAGTGGGTAGAGGAAAGCAGACAGAATAGAGGAGAGGAGAGAGTGGAGCCATCAATAGCATGGTCTCAGCTGGCCCTGGAAAATCACCGAAATATCACCCAAGTATCACTGTATACTTGGAATCAGTTCAAGGAACCGGTCCTTGAACTGCTTTGCCATTTGGGAGGACATGCAGTTTGAGGAGCGATGTCTGAGTTAGACAAATGAGGTTTTGGTGTAATAGGTGTTCTTATTAGAGTGAATCAGTCCGTCACGTGAAAGAGAGCTCTGAAAGTGAATGTCAGGAAAAGGAATGGAGGTCCTTTCCTGATATTCTTGGACTGACATATTCGTTATGAAGTCTCATGGGTTATTAAGCACTCATGGGTCTTCTGCATGCTAATTTCTTGCGTGAGTTTGAAACTGAGATGTTCTCTAGATGATGACCCGGAGATGATGTGCTATCAAAACTAGAAATAGTCTCAGAAAAACTGAAAACTTGTAAGCTATCTAAGGTGTTTCAAGTGGGAGGTATAAATACTGTATTCTCTAAGTGGATATTCAAAAATACGCACAAACACACAGGTCTCCAAAGAGAAAAATGAAGAAGTGAAAAAAGAAGGTTAAAACCAGATACATACATAAATGACAGTATTCTTTTCTACCACAAAAATAACAACAGAAAATATCCAAAGAAACAAAAACAGATGCTTCATTTCATGAGTCATTGAAACCACAGTATATTATCAATACACATCTTCCAAATGAAGAAAAGGCAGAGAATAATGTGGTTTGACGAGCTGGTGCAATACCTGGATTGCTCCCCCACCCTGCTGGTGCAAATTGCACTCACAGTACCCTCAGAAAGATTGCTGCCTAGAGACTCAGAGTGGCTCAATAACACATCCTTGGACTTTGTTCTCATTCCTTATTTCACTCTTCGCTAAATATTATCCCGGCTGAGAGTGAGGTCTTGCACATGCAGAAAAAAAATCCTTGTAGAGTTATAAAACACATGAGTTGTGAATGCCTTCTAAAACCACTCTCAAATTCATCAAGAAAGGATGTTTACTGGCCCAAGCTGTTTCAGCATAAGCTCTGACCTGCTTTTGCCTGATCGATAACCTCTGATGACTCAAGAGTGACCTCTAGGAAGTCAATCTCAAAAACTAAAAGAATAAACATTTAAAAGTATAAGTGAGCAGAGACATCAGCAGCCACACATAGAAAGGTCCTGAGACTGTACAGAACTAGTCCAGGAAGGTCACTAACGAACAAAGAAACTGCAAAACCCACAGCAGTCCCTGGAGGCAGGCGATCCTACCCACTGTTACAACATTACTTTATTTCTAGTGCCCTGTGTTCCTGAACAGATCCTGAGACATGGAAAGAAACAGGAAAATTGACCTAATCATAGGAAAAGAAGTTAATAGAAACTCTCATGGAGCCCAGGTGGTGAACTTAGCAGACAAAGACTTCGAGACAGTTATTATTAGTATTTCTAAGAACTGAAGGTAAGCATGTTTACAGACTCTACGTATGATGAAAATGACTCATGATCTACAGAATACTAAGATGGTAGAAGTGATCAGAAAAAAACAAATAGAGGAGGCCAGCCCAGTGGCGCAGTGGTTAAGTTTGCGTGCTCTGCTTGGGCTGCCTGGAGTTCACCAGTTCAGATCCAGGGTGTGGACCTACGCATTGTTTGGCAAGCCATGCTGTGGCAGGCATCCCACATCTAAAGTAGAGGAAGATGGGCGTGGATGTTAGCTAAGGGCTAATCTTGCTCAAAAAAAGAAAAGAAAAGGAAAGAAAAGAAAAGAAATTCCAGGCTGGAAGAGTATAAGAACCAGAATAAGAAATATAGTAGATAGTGTAGATCTCAACAACACATTCGAGCCAGTAAAGGAAAGATCTGTGAACTTGAAGACAAATCAGCAGAGATAATCCAACTTAAATAAAAAAGAATTATCAACAGCAGATAGAGCTCCACAGAGCTGCGAGGCACCATCAGGTGTGTCAATGTATATAGAGGTCACATGGGTATATGAAAGAGAAACTGGAAGAAAAGATAGATGAAAAAATAATGACAAAAAGCTTCCATAATTTGATGAAAAACATTAACCTACTCATTCAATAAGCTCCACGAATTCCAAGAAGTATAATACAACAAAATGGGCACCTACATTAATCATGGTCCATTTGTGGAGAGGCAAGATGGGTATAAATAGAGCAAGCTACTTAGGGCGATGTTTCCTGAGGCCTAACTGCAGGGTGACTGGAATCCTCCCGCCTCCCTCTCTCCCCTGCTTTCTCAGGCTTTAGTGGCTTGAGTCTGGCCCGCCTTTTCTAAATAGCTAAAGATACCTTGACTTACTTTCACTTTCAGGTTCAGTTTTATGCTCCAGTTCCTTTCTCGGAATGGTGAACACCTTCATTTTATTTCCGGCTTCTATAAATTAGAAGAAGAGCAGGCAGAGGAAACAGAGCAAGGCTGAGTTTTTGAACAGATCAGCAGTGCTGTGGAGCAGGTATGTTCATTTACAAACTTTCTTTTACATGCACGTTAGGTTTGGGCTTAAAACCCTTGATTTCTGAGGTAAAAGTGGGATGAGAAGAGGAATTGGGAGTAAGGCCACTGTGAGGGCAGCAGCAAGTGGAGAGGAAAGAAAGCTGATGGAGAGGTTAGGGTCTCCTCCTGGCTCTTTACAAGGGCCAGGAGGCATTTTTCTCTGTGACCTCAGCTTTCCTCATAGTACCATGCAGGAGGATCGTCTAATCAATAATTCTCAACTCTGGCTGCATCCTGAGATGCAGAGATCCTACAGTCCTGAGATTTTAGGAAGTACTGATGATTGCCTCTCTTTCTCTCATCTGATTTAATGATTTGGAAGGGTGGTGGGGGCATCAGTATTGGTTTAAAGACTTCCCAGGTGATTCTAATACGTGGCCCAGTTTGAGAACCCTGGATGGAAGACTACCTCCCAAAGTTCTCGAATCTACAAAGGCCTCTGTGACTCGACTCAGGGAGGTTAATATGCACCGATTTGTTTAACCAAATCCCGTGGACACCTATGACAACATGGTGAAATGTGGCTAAAGGTAAATTCTGAGATCTCAACAAAATGTTCAGAAGTGCTTCTCTCTTCGGATTCAAACTGATTTTCAAAAGGGGAGGCTCAGATCTCTTGAAAGAACCTCCCTGATCAAATGACACCCCTTCACAGAAACGGTTGTTTGCGGATACAGAGAACAAATGGACTTCCTCTAGTTGACAGACTGTTATCACCAGAAATGATAGTTTCTTATTTATCTATTAGTCACACTTACTTAGAGATCACCAGAGTGAGGGCTTTTAAAATCCCCGTCTAGGAAGGATTTCAGTACCTCTATGTTAACCTTTAACAGTTCAAAATGAGTCTATCGTCAAAATTGAGTCTTTGCATAGCCGGGTTTCTTGTACGAATGTGAGACTCACCAGCGACTCTTGTGAGAGTCACACAGAGATTCTTGGGTGTGGGAATCTGGGGGGTTAACACCCACTCCAGGTGATTCTCATGAACATCCAATTTTAAAAACCACTTCTGAACAGGGGAGAACACTGCTTTGTTGATTGAAATTAAGCTCATGGCTTATTCACAGCTGAGACACCACAGGTCTCATTTTCAAAAGTGGCATTTGCAGTACAAGTCATATCTTCTAACAGTGCCCCGAATCTTCTCTCTGAAGAAGAGGCTACAAGTGCAGAGATTGTAACGTGGCTTTGAGGGGCTCCTTCTCCTCATTCCCCAAAGTCTGAAGAATCCGACAGTGGGTGGTTGAACAGGGGCAAAGCATCTCAGCCGATTATTGTTTTGTTCTGATGAAAAGCTAATTTATATACTCGTGTCTCTGTAACATAGTTCTTGCAGAACGCAATGAAATAAACTGTCCAATGGGCCGATTGGTCATTGTGTTATTGTAGATTAATCTTGATCTAATTCAGGAAACATTTATTGAAAGCTTGTTTTGTACAGGACACTGTGCTAAGACGAGAGCTTGCAACACCTCATTTAAAATTCCAAATAACCCTTCAGGTAGAAGCAATTATTTTAAGCTTAATAATTACTGAAAAGGTGACGTAGGTCAAATCTTTGCTAAGGTCACATGAGCAGTCAACCGTACACCTGGAAAATTTTCAATGCAAAAGATACATCTTAAATGTGCAAGATTTAAAACCTAACTTTGGAAACATTTCAACTTAATGTTGTTTATATATTCTTGCAGGAAAAATATAGAGATTTCCCAGAGAACCATTTAAATAAAATAGCCAAGTAGTTGCCTGGATGCCTGTAAAATAATTGTGATGTTAATCTTAATTATATGAAAACAAATTTTGTTTTGAAAAAACGGTTCTGAATTACAGAAAAGATATAAGGTTATAATGACATCCTATATAACTTTAACTGAGATTCACCCTGTGGCAACATTTTGTGACACTTGCATTCTCTGTTTTTGAACAGATGTATACTTTCTTCTATTTACTTCCTTATTCTGATTATTATTTGGCAAGTAAGTAGCAGAGACCATGACCCTTCACCACAAAATACTTCAGCACATATCTCCTGAGATCCTATTCTGCCTTATTGGAAAGGAGCTGCCTTCTTTGGCTCTCCCTCCTTCCCAGCTCCTTTCTCCGGCTCTGGGTCCTATTCTATCACTCAAGTAAACCTGTGCTCAGTCAGGTCATCCTTGAGCCTCCTTGCTGACAATTGCTGTGAATTCTCTGGGTATTTAATATCAGTGATCTCTTCTCTCTTCTGGATGCTCAGCTCTGTCTTCCACGCCTCTGAAACCTTATGCTCCCCCAGGACCATCACCCCTTAGATTTCCCCAAGGCTTTTCTTCTTTTGTCTTCTTAAGCTGAATTAAGTCATCTCAACACACGATTCAGTTACCCATATCACTCACATAGACCTCTTTCCTCAGGATGATTTCCATTTAACGAATGTTGACTGAGTGCATTCTGTGAGCCCAGCCTGGGGTCTAAGCAGAGAACAAGATAGACACGGCACTTGTACCCCTAATCTTAGACTTTAGTGGAGATAATAACAAGTGTGATAAACCATAAACTGTAATCCACGTTAGATTGTCTGTCATCTTCCTAATTTGAGATGGTTACTACAAAACATTGGTAACTGTCCCCTAATGTCCATTCTACCCTTCTCCTATACTCATAGTGCCCCTACTTGTTTGCCATGCACACGGTTTCCCAGAATAACGATGGCAATTCCAACCTCTCTTGTGGTTGTGTACGATAATGTGAATAATTTAAGAAGGAACTTGTTTTATGCAGATGCGATAGTTCTGAAAAGAGAGGCCTATCTTTCTCCCCTTCCCCACTCTCTGGTTAGAATACAAATATGATGGCACATCATCTCACATCCTGGGCTGCCCCTTATAGACGGCTGAGCATATGGCAGAAAGGTTCTGAGCCTTCAATCCTTTAAGAAACGAAACCACCATACCATCCCTGGACCACTAACCTTGAAATTTATGAGAGAGAGGATTAAATGTAAATCATTTATGAGCCATTTTTTTCTGTTTGTCACAGCTAAGCCTAATCCTAACTGATGCAGTTACCTTAGTATCTCCTTGAGGGCAGAGACTACAGCTCATTTAACTTTTTATCCGAAGACACAAGTGTTACCAGCTACAAACACAGGTTCTTTTACCCATCACACGAGAGAGAGACCAAAATGAAAACAGGAATGCCAGGCTTATGACAAGGAAAGAGTTTTATCTGAAGGCAGCCAGACAAGGAGATGGGAGTTACTTAGAACTCAGTTCCACCTCCTCAAAGGAGAAGAGGTAGGGGGTCTTATTTGAGTTTTCAGGTGTGTGGTGGGATGCTGTGGCCTTGCAGGTCAGTGCTTTCCCACCAGCCTGCGTTTGGCCTCCTGAGGCTGCTTTCAGGCAGGAGGATGGTGAGATAAGGGAATCCGCAGGGGAGTATCCTTGGTCGTCTGCCTCTATGGTGGATGGTGGATTCTGGTGTCAGGAAACTGAGGAGATGGGGTCTGGGAAGCTTCAGCTTCTTGATATTCTCTGGATATCAGGTTCCCTGTAAGAAAACTTCAAAGGACCTGTAACTAGCCAAAACGTTAGCGTGAGGCCACCTGGGCTCTAACAATTTGTAACTTCTATTTGCCTTGTGAAGTTCAGGGATACAAAGGTTTAAAAAAACGATCTTTACATATGAATGTAACTTAGAGAAGCAGGAGAAGGGGATGAGTGCTTTTGGTTTCAGCCCCATATATGCTGGGTTCAATGTAGGGGAACTGATATCAGGGCTGGGATCACAAGCACAGTTTGTGGTGCATAGTAGGTGCTCAAGAGATGTGTTGGAATAAGCAAAAGGCCATAATAAATAGGACTGGATAACAAGCAATGAAATAAGGAGAAGGATATGTCTCATAAACCTGAGGTGAACTGGAGCCCCTGGGGAAGCACTAGCTGTGCTAGGAGACAGCCAGGTCTGCAAAACGCTGAGTGTTTGTGGGGTGAGGGCTGGAGTCTGAAGAAAAAGGAGGGGCCCATCAGGTCGTAGTAATATATTAGAAGAAATATTTTTGGGATAGGAGAGTCCGTAGAAATCCCCTGGAAGTTACTGATCAAGGAGTATGGGGTAATCCTTGTTTTGGGGAAAGATTATTTTGCCTGGTAATTGCGTGCAAAGCATAGAACACTAACGCAGACCTTCCAGATTTGAAATCCAGGGTCTACCACTTATTCACTATGTGCTTTGGGCAAATCCCTTGGACTTTCTGAGCCCCATTGATCTCATTTGCAAAGCGGGTACAATAAGCCTACTTTGCAGGGTCTCGTAAGTATCACTGAGGACAGGGATGGAAGCACACACAGGGGAGCTAGCAAATTTTGTACTGTTGATGCATACTTGAATATTATTATTTTATGGAAGTAAAACATTGGGACTGGTGATACCCTGTATCTCATCCCTAGCTTCATCAAATATTGGGGGAATAATGAAGGCAGCAGCCTGAAGACGGCCAACACTAGCCTGCATTTCGTGCCACAGAAAAGTACAGAAGTGGTGACATATGCGTGCTTTGGATAAGTCTGAGGCCAGAGAATGACTTTGCGATCTTATTCTACTGTGAGACTCTTCTAGGTTTGCAAGTTATCACTGCGTCCAAGGAGACATCCTGTGTGATAAGTGCTCTTCTCAGTGAGCACCCAAAGCATAGATAAACATATCTATATTTATATTTACATTTACATATTTATTCATATATATAAAGCTTGCCTCACTTGGTGACCTCTTATCTATTTTATTATTTTTATTTATTTTTAAATTTATTTTTCTTGAGATATAATTGACTTCTAACATTGTGTAAGTTTAAGGCATAAAACGTGCTGATTTGATACATTTTTATGTTGCAATATGATTACCACCACAGCATTAGCTAACATCTCCATCATGTCATGTGATTATCATTATTTGGTGGTGGTGACATTAAGATTTGCTCTCTTAGCAACTTTAAGTTTATAATACAGTATTGTTGTCTATCATCACTTTACTGTGCATTAGATCTCCGGGACTTATTTACCTACCAGTTACAAGTTTGTAACCTTGCACCACATACCCTAACTCCCCCACCCCCAGCTTCTGGTAACCACCATTCTACTCTGTGTTTTATGAGTTCAGCTTTTTTTAGATTCCACATATAAGTGATGTCATACAGTATTTTTCTGACTTATCTCAATTAGCATAATGCCCTCAAGGTCCAGGAATGCTGTGGCAAATGGCAGCGTTTCCTTCTTTCTCATGGCTGAATAAGATTCCATCGTATGTATGCACCACATCTTCTTTGTGCTTTCATCCACTGACAGACACTTAGGTTGTTTCCACATCTTGGCTGTTGTGAATAACGCTGCAATGACATGGGATTGCATCTCTCTCCTCAGTATCCTATTTTCATTTTCTTTGGACATATCCAGAGGTGGAATTGCTTGATCATATTGTTTCTCTATTTTCAGTTTTGTGAGGAAGCTCCATAGCGTTTTCCACAGTGGCAGAATGTATTTACATTCCCCCCAAAAGTGCACAAGGCTTCCTTTGTCCCCACCTCTTCACCAACACTTATCTCTTGTCTTCTTGATAACAGCCACCTCAATAGGTGTCAGGTGATATCACATTGTGGTTTGGATTGACATCTCTCGGATGATTAGTGACGTTGAGCATCTTTTCATGTACCTGTTGGCAATTTGGATATCTTACTGGGAAAAACGGCCATTGTACAGAGTTCATTGACCTCCCCGCCTTCCAAGGACACTGGGCCTGGGCCCTGCACAAAGGAATGTGTCTGGGCTTGGGGTCAAAGATGGCCACTTCGGCCCTGACTCTAAGGCACAAGTTACAAAGAATATGTCCTGTGTCATGTTCCTTGTCTGGGCTGGCCACCCCGACAGGCACCTGACAGGACTTTAGAAACATCCCATCCGAGGGAACAAAAAAGATAGAAGCACCCCATCCGTGGGAACAAGAAGAAATAACTCAAAGTATCCAAATGTCTGAAACCCTGAGTCAGAACCTAGAGAAACCTTAGGATAAAAGGGAGTCACAGGCATAGAACAATTGGAAGTCTCGCTGAGGAAAGGACCCTTCGCCTCAGACCCGGACAATCGGCACTGCCACCCGCCGTATAAACTCTTGTAGATGTTGAAAGTACCGATTTGTTGTTCCCCTTTATCCCTGCTCCTCGTTCTGTGTCCCTTCATCAATAAACTTTGATTGCTTCAACAACCGAGTGGCCTTGGCGGTACCTGTCATTCCTTGGCCTCTGCAGCTGCGGCAACAGCCATTTAGTCCCTCAGCCCATTTTTTAATTGGATTGATTGTTTTTTGGGTTATTGAGTTGTATGATTGCCTATGTTATTTTTATTATGCTTTGCTGGGAAATTCTTTTTCCAGAATATACCAGAGCATGTCAGCTGAAGGAAGATACTTAACTTTTTTAAGTGTAGTGACCTGGAGAACCGCAGAAGAAAGAATGACTAGGAAGGAAATCACTAATTTAGTAGGAGGCGATGGGATTTACAAAGTTTCATCCTGCATAAGGTTTCTTAAAAATCATTTTCTAATTGTAGTTTCTAATTTTGAATCTCATTGATCCCCTAAATGTTCTGTTTCATTAAGGGCTGGAGATTCTGGTGGTGACCTTGGTGGATGCCTTCAACAGTGGTGTAAGTCCTTGTTTGGAGGATGTGGTGACACCTCTGTCCTAGCCTGAGAATTCAACAGCTCTGCTGAGAGAAGTTCCCACAAAAATGGTCCGAATTCAGCCAATCATGGGCCACGAGAAAGACTTCATGGAGCACTCCATCCAATTTGACAAGCCGGTGTTAAGGAATATGTACATGGTAATTTGTCTTAATACTTGATTCTTCGTGTTAAGTCTTTGATGTAGAGGCCGCCTTATTGGCCATAGATTCTTTACTATTCATAGTAGAAGGATCCTAATTCTTCTGAGTAAGAGAGTTCCAAATGACTGTATTACACTATTTTATCTTCCTTTCCTCGAAACTCAGGCACTTTATCTGGAAATCCGGCTAACCTCTGAAGCAAAGTCAGAACAGACACTCCGATGTCCTCCTTGACTGAATACTCGCAAAGTCTCCCTATGTGCTTGGAACACAAGTTATTCTGAGCTTTTTCTGTGCACTCTCTCTCGTTCGTAGCAACTCAAGTTTCTCTGGGAAGCTTCTCTTTATTTCGCTCTTGGTCGTATTACTGTTAATGATACCCTGTGGATAGAATCACAGGACACTACAGCTGCAAATTTATAATATAACCCAAAACTTCACAAGGAAGGCCCAGGGAGTTAAGAAACTTATCAACAGTCTTAAATAGAGTATTTTTTCTCTGAGGGGTTAGTAATTCAAGTTTCTTTTAACACTGTTATTGAGATGTAGTTCACACACCATAAATTTCATGCATTTAAAATGTACCAGTGATACAAATGTACAAATGGAAAGATACAATGGTTTCCCATGGGAAAGGTGATCTAGGAAATCTTCCCGGCAGAGGAGTGAGAGGTAATTTGGAATGATTGGAACACATTATCCAGGGTGGTATGTTACAGGAGGAGCAGCCAGCAGAAAAACAGCACGTGAAAAATATGAAAGCGCCTAAGATTAAGTGTTTGTAAAATTACACGCTCTTCTGACTGGTGGCACAGAGCATGGGTGGTGGGAACAGCACTGGCAGAGGAGGCTGGAAGGGGAGGGAGGTAGGCAGGAGCTTGAAAACTTTACTCGTAGGCAGTGGGAAGCAACCAGGGAATGTTAATCAGGATGGATCTTTTTTCAGAATGTTTCAATGGAAGTTCAGGTTTGATCTGCCTGATGTGTTTTGCCTCCTGTGTCCTCCAGGACTTATTGAAGATGAAGGAGGAAGCAGAGGCGTGCCTCCTCAGGAAAGACAACCTCCCCAGTTATGCCGAAGAGCGGTTAGCAGGTATAGGGAGGGCTCAGCTCACAGTGGGGTGGGTAGGTTCCTGCAATGCCCTCTGAGAGCTCTTGACAGGAAGACCTTCCGGAAGCAAGGAGCTTCCTCTCTTTGTGTGAACACACTCTGCTCTGTCTGAAAGGAAGGCAAGTTGTGGTTGTGCATCCAGCACAGGCAGCCAGGGCCTTTCCTCTCACATTCTCAGACCTGCTGTTGATGGGTGGTCACCAGGTGACTTCAGACATTTGCATCTGCCTTTTCAAGAGAGTTTGACCTCTGAAAAAGTGGAGGGTTGGGGGATGCGGGTTGGAGCTCTCAGGCCTGACTGTTGTTCTCTTTGCTGTCTAAAATCTTCCTGGAGCAGAAGAGCGGGCCAAAAGAGAGGAAGCTGAGAGGGAAAAGGAGCTTCTTGAGCAAAAGTGTAAAGAGCTGCAGCAAAAATTGGACAATCAAGAAAGAGTCCTCAAGCAACTCCAAGCTGAAATGGAAGAGAAGATGAGAAATGAACTGAGAGAGCGGGATGAGAAGATTCAGAAGCTTGAGGTAAGCCTGGCCAGGGTCTGGGCAGTGACTGGGGAACAAAGCTCTGGAACCTCAGGAAGGGATGGGTGAAAATTAAAGCAAAGTCATAGGGAGAAGTACCATTGTCATTTACTGCATTTGAGTCACTCGGAGCCCTGAGTGTTTAATGGTGGATGTCAAAGCACCTGAGTTCTGTTCACACTGCATTTCTGGAGAGTCCAGGAAGACCGTGGTACCTCCACACAATTATAGAGTATAGCTAACCTTCCCAGGCCGTGTGCTGCTGCTGTTTGGAGAGACGATCTCCTGGAGCCACTGTTAAATGGGGTTCCCAGGTTTAGCAAGTAAATGTTCTAAGCAGGTGTATCTAATATAAGTAGCTACTGGGTCACTTTACCAAGATTATGGCCAATTATCAGGAACCCTACTACCACCCAAAGACCCTAAGGTAGATCCTAGTTGACCTAAAACTATCAGATAGGCACAGACTTAGAAATGCAGGGGACGTCATGACAGCTCCTAACCTGGCTGCAGTTGTCCCAGGAGAGGGTAGCCTGCCTGAGTCAGCACACAGCCAAGGGGGAATTCTCTCTCCTCCTACCTGGAAGTGTTTATATCAGATTTATAGACAGCTTAGGAGTTCCCATTATTTCTAAGATGTGGGTGAGGCTTCATGCCATTCAGACAGAAGGCTCTCTCCCAAACAGCATAATTTTGGTTAGAATATCTTACAACAATTGTCCTCATCGCCTGGTTAGCACCCTGGCAAGACCCTGGTGATGGGTAAATGTGACTAAGGTTGTACTACGCTTCCTCTCACTTCCCCAGCCTAAACCAGGATATATTCCTGCCGTGAACAATATCTCCTCAAGATCTAATGAGACAGAAGACTTTTAGAAGGAAAATACAGACAATTTTATAAATCGTTAATATAAACCACATTCTTGAAAGATTGGGATTTTTAAAAGTTTACCTTTTCCTAACATACCACACTTTTTTAGGCCCAAATGAAAACCCTGCTGGAAGAGAAGGAAAATACTAAAAACGACTGCACTTCAAAGAAGAAGAAAAATAAGGATAAGGAAAATCCTTCAAAGCCTTCATTGTGGTTTCTAATTTTGGAGGCCATAAATCGTTTCTTGATACTAATTACCAAGTACCTCTGTTCAGAGTAGTTTCAGGTAACTTTTACAAGTTTTCATAACAGCATCTGGCTTATTTTTATGTGTATACACTTTTTCTGTTTTTCAGCAAAATTTTAAGATAAAAACATAAAAGTACCTACTATAGGGCATCAATGCCTGGCAAACAGAAGGTAGAGTAAATGTGATGGGACAGGTAATATAATGGAAGCAGAAACAACTGATTAGAAGAACAGAGAAGGTCAAATTTGAAATATTCTGAAAATAAACTTGGAATATACCTATCAAGAAATGCTTCTGGGGCCAGCCCCAGTGGCCTGGTGATTAAGTTCAGTGCACTCTGCTTCAGCAGCCTGTGTTCAGGCTCCTGGGTACGGACCTACACCACTCATCTGTTAGTGGCCATGCTCACATACAAAAAGAGGAAGATTGGCAGCAGATGTTCGCTCAGGGTGAATCTTCCTCAGGAAAAAAGAAAATTCTTCTGTAAGTTACATAGGAACAACCATACAAGTGGATATATATGCTGTGTCTTGAGTAGGAAGGGCCAATTCCATATGTAAATCAATTCTTTCTGTTCACCTGTGAGTTTTATGTGTTCTGAGTGAAAATTTCAAAGAGGCTGATTGTAAAATTTAAACGGAGTTGATCAAAACGAATTAAAAAGCCAAGACAATGCCAAAGCGTTACAATGAAATTTATAGAACCTCCATGATTAGAGCAGTGAGTCACTGAGGCACAATACAAAGGCATAGCCACAAAACACAGTAGATAGTCTAAAAATAGAACCAATACCACACAGGAATTAAGTGTATGCGAAAAGTGTTATTTCAGCTCAGTGGGAAATATGAACTGCGTGATACCTGTGGTCAAACAACTGGACATCTGTATAGACTACAAGGGTGATTAGATCCATTATGAGCCTTGCACAATGTAAATTTCAGGTTGACCTTAGACTGAAACATCAAAAAACTCCATGGAAACAGAAACTGTCAGATAATTATCAAATTACCTTGGAACATCCAATTTGTTTTCAAACGATATGAAACCCAAAGACGTAAAAATACAGACAAAACTACACAAAAATAAATTTGTTGTGGTAAAAAAGCATGAAGAAATTCAAAAGTAAAAAATGTTCTGGAAAAGACAACCAAATTTATGTCAGAGAAAAGCGCTAATTTATGCAAGTTATGTGTCATGAAGAGCCACAAATCAATAAAAATGGACCAACTTTAGACAGCTTGTAGAAAAGTAAGTTATTCAGATCACTCAAAGTAAGAGAAATGAAACAGTGTTTCACCTCACATGCTATCGAATTGTCTTCCTAACGTTTTTGAAAACATGTACTTTTAAGGGTGTACAAGTTTAAAATGTCTATTGAAAATTGTATCTAATACTAATTCAGTTTTAATCTGTGTTAACTTTGGCCCAACAGGTTAAGTTTTAGGACACACGTACTCTCTAACACACAGAGTCACAGAATGATGTATATGTAAGGTGACCACTGCAACATTGGCTATAATTTTAAAGATTGAAAACTACTTATATGTCCATCTATGTGATATTGGTAATGTAAATTTTAGCACACTCATATAATGAAATATTATGTAGCCAGCAAATTGAGAGATGGAGCTCTATTTGTAATGATACAGAACAATTTAGCAGCTATATTGTAAGGTGGAAAAGCTGGGGTGCAAACCCATAGGGATAGTAGACTATTTCTGCAAAAGAATGCAATCCTTATATTCACGTGTGTATACCCTTAGATGACCTCTGGAGTCATGCATGAGAAACTAGTGATCTTGGTTGCTTCTGCAGGAAACTAGTTTGCTGAGATCAGGAATGAGAGAAATACTTTATTTTGCATAAACTTTTGTGTTTTTGGAGATTTTATAGTGAAGAGGTAATACCAGTTCAGAAGTACAAGAAAGAAAACACAATGACCACGATGATGGTGTTGAGGGTGATGATGATGATGATGGTGGTGGTGGTGGTGATAGGGAATTTTGCATTCCAGGGAAAGCATTAGCCAAGGTGGGCGATCAGAATTGGCCATCCTAAAATGTGTCTCTTGGTTAGGACAAGAGAGTCGGAAAGAAACGTTGACCTTCCCCTTAACTGCCTACAACGATTTCAGATGGGAAGCCTGTCTCCCGGACAGGCCATTGCTATAGATAACTCTGGGTATTGGTAGACTGCGAGGGTCCTCGCCAAGCCCATTCTTATCTACCAAACACTTGCTTTTCCATTTCCATATGAATTGCCTTCCTCCCCTTTGAAGTCCCAAACCACTACCCCCAGCATCCTCCTTTGCCTTTAGCTGAAGATGGTATTTAAGGTGAAGTCCCAAACCACTACCCCCAACATCCTCCTTTGCCTTTAGCTGAAGATGGTATTTAAGGTGAAACCACCATTCTGGTGAGTTACTCAGCTTTCCTGGGTTTCTGCCACACATGCATGTTAGAAAGCTTTGTTTGCTTTTGTTGTGTTGCTCCGTCTCATGTCGATTTAATTCTTGGACCAGCCAGAAGGACCTCGGGGGCAGAGGAATTGTCTTCCTCCCCTACACCAGCTCAAAAGAGAGATCTAATAGCGAGGTCTAGATACTGCAAAAAACAAAGTTTATATCTGAATCTTGTTTGTATTATGAAGTTGATTTCTACTTCCTTAAATTCTCTGAAAAATAAGGTATAAAGGATCATGTGACTCTGAAATCCCAGCTAGTGGGTCTTTTGGTTTCCAACTGCAAATTAGCATTGTAAGGTCTTGGACGTGTACTGTGCCTGCAGTGTATTTTTGGTGTTTTTGGAATTCCCTTTCTGCTGACTGATGTTTACAGGCTAAGCTTTTGTTATCAGGAACTCTTGCCAGTTGCACAATCTTGACATGTTACCTCTTTCTTCTAGGCATCTGTACACTGTATTCAGACTTCTTCATGACACACCTCTGGATCCTCCCCTTTATTTTGCTGACTGGTCTCTCCTTGAAGTTTTTGAATTTGTGAATCCCCTAAACTGGAAGGGGTGGCCCTCCTTTGTGCCCCCATTGTCCTTACCACATGATTTTGAGAATTGAAATTGCCAATTTCTGTCTGTATCCCTGATGACGTGTGCTACCAGGGCCGGATTTATCTGCGTCACTGTAATCTCACTTCTTTAATCTATGTTCAGCACCTAATCTGTAACTAGAAAATATCGGTTGAATGAATAAATTAACTTTATCTCCAAGTTCTCCACTTTTCTATATCCTCATTATGACAGATGCTTCAAAGGACTCTCAAAACAAAGGGTGTAGTTTTAAGATCCTGATACAAAGAGGGCAGAATGAATTAGGACTGCAATTCGTAGAAAATGCAAGGACATGCATGCTGAGACTTGCCACAATGTTCATTGGGTGTCCGCAGAGAAGGGATTGTCTCACCATGTATTCAGTTTGAGTCTCGTATGACAATCACTCATGAATGATGATGTCACTCACTTTTGACTCATGGGTCAATTGTGAGGTCAAATTTTAAAGGAAAAGATCTTTATCATGCAACCCTCTCATGCCCATCATGGTCCTCCAGTCAGAGGAGAATCTTCTCCTGAGGTAAAATTATACTTTTTATTCAAATTTCAATTTCTTCCTGAAATAATGTTGAGGGCATCATTTGTCCAGTGATTATAGCAGCCTTTCTCTATTCCCTTATTGAGAGGGCCAAGAAGTCTCAGTTCTGCTGCTTGAGAAGACTGTGAGGTCCGGAGTCAGCCACATCCTAGGTGTCCCCAAGCAACAGCTATTGACATAAGAGCTCATGCAGCCAGAACTCCCCCATCAGTGACATGTAGAGGACTGCACCCCCACTGGGTGTTCTTTGCAATGTCTTAGCTGTGTCATTTTGTAGAAGGGACCAGAGCCCAAGGTCTCTTTCCCCATCAAGTTGCTGTGACCTGCACTATCCTCACCCTCAGGGCCAGTCGTTAGTAGACATGAGTCTCCACAGAACTCAAGGGCTGTTTTTTTTTTTTTTTATCAGAAACTAGTACAAGTATTAGTGTGTGTGTCATATGGCTACCTCTGTTCATGGATGAGAGGGAAGGGGTCCTTCACCTGCAGTACAAGAGAGATGTGTGCAGACCCTTTCCCTGCATTAGCTGTGGAGCAAGACCTTTTGGCCATGGGAGACTGATGCTTACTATTGAAGCTGATCTTGCCCTGCCTCTTCTCTGTGTGAGTTGTATTTTTCTTGAAGGCTCCAAAAGATCCAAACCATGAAATGGGTTGACATCCTGAGACAACTGCTCCTGGTGGTAGGTGTTTTTATGATCTGGGCTTGCTTCAGTGAAGCGGAACTCCTACCCCTGGTCACAGTGTAATAGGAACAGGTGTCGCTTTTTTTTTTTTTTTGAGGAAGATTAGTCCTGAGCTAACATCTGCCACCAATCCTCCTCTTTTTGCTGAGGAAGACTGGCCCTGAGCTAACATCCATGATTATCTTCCTCTACTTTACATGTGGGATGCCTACCACAACATGTCTTGCCAAGCAGTGCCATGTCCACACCTGGGATCCAAACCGGCAAACCCCAGGCCGGCGAAGTGGAATGTGCCACCTTAACTGCTGAGCCACCAGGCCAGCCCTCACAGGTGTCACTTTCTTGACATTAATTTTATGTTTGAACTTGGCTAGGTGATGGTGCCCAGCTGTATGGTAAAACATTAGTTTAGATATCACTGTGAAGGTAGTCTTTAGATGTGATTAACATTTAAACCAGTAGACTTTGACTGAAGCAGCTTACCCACCATGGTTTGGGTGGGCCTCAACTCACTATTTGAAGATCTTAAAAACAAATACCAAGTTTTCTGCTCAAGATTGCAATGTAGAAATCCTGCCTGAGTTTCCAACCTGTTGCCTAGCAGATTTTGAACTTAAGACTGTAATATCAACTCTTGCCTGAATTTCCAGCCTACAGGATCTTGCCAGCCCCCACAATTGATTCAATTCCTCAAAACTAATCTCTGTCTCTGTCTCTCTATCTATGTAATCAATCTATCCTCTCTCTCTTTCTTTCTCTCTCTCTCTTTACATATATGAATATACATGTGTATATGTATACATATAAACACCACTCTGGAGAACCTTGACTATATACTATAATTACCAAAGAAATTAAACAGCTGTGTTGTGAAAGAGTAATTTTGATCATTCTCATTACTTATAAAAATAAAAGATAAGGGGGCCAGCCTGGTGGCACAGCGGTTAAGTTCTCACGTCCCACTTTGGTGGTCCAGGATTCGCCAGCTCGGATCCAGGGAGTGGACATGGCACCACTTGGCAAGCCATGCTGTGGTAGGCATCCCAGATATAAAGTAGAGGAAGATGGGCACGGCTGTTGGCTCTGGGGCAGTCTTCCTGATCAAAAAGAGGAAGGTTTGTGGTGGATGTTAGCTCAGGGCTAATCTTCCTCAAAAAAACAAACTAAAGATAAATAAACAAACAAATAAATAAAAGATAAGCTTGAAAAGATTTGCAGAAATTAGTAATCTAGAAAAATGACATATTACATTATAAAATGAACCTATAGAGAGGAGTGGGCGGAGCAAAATGGCGGGGTGAGCTGACCCGGGATTCTCTCCCCTCCAAAATACAACAAAAGATTGGAAGAACTGAATTTCAGAGAATAAACATAATGCCAGCTCGTTAGAGACCTATAATACCAAGAAGGCGGAGATCATAATCTTGCTTACACCTTCGGAGGTGCCAGAACGGTAGGAGAGAACATCGCTCCCTCCCCTAGAGTCTGCGATCCCTGCCGCGGGGGTCGGGAAGGAGCGGGGGAGGGGCCGCGCGACCGGGGGATCATCCAGGACTCCTGCCGCTGATTCAGTGGAGACCCACTGACGGGGGAAAGCTTCCGTCTGCGGGGACCCTATAAATCAAGGGCCTTGGGAGACCAGAGAACAGAACTGATCTGAACCCAGACCTGCGTGTGTGAGTAACAGCCTCTCCCCCCTAACAAAGCCAGTGGGCGCAGCCATCTTGCCCCGAAGGCGGAGAGCTAACACGCCGCTCTTGAGCCCCATCTAGTGGCGACAGGCTGTAACTGCAACTGAATTCTACCACCATGAGAAAAAACCGCTCCTCTACCATCCAGCAATTTATAAAAGCCCCAGACCAGAAGGAAAACAATAAAAACACAGAATTAAGTCCTGAGGACTTGGAAGTAGGTAAACTAAGTGATAATGAGTTCAGAGTAGCTATAATCAAAAAACTCAATGAGGTAGAGAGAAAGATAGAGAAACAAGCTGAGTTCTGGAGTTACTTCACAAAAGAGATTGAAATCATAAAGAAGAATCAAACAGAATTACTTGAGATGAAAAACACAATGGACCAGATAAAACAGAATACGGATTCCCTGAATGCCCGTGTAGACAACCTAGAGGAGCAAATCAGCATAATCGGGGACAGACAGGCTGAATGGCGCCAGACAGAGGAAGAAAGAGAACTAAGAATTTAAAAAAAATGAGGAAAATCTCCGAGAGATAATGGATTCAATGAGGAGTAAGAACATAAGGATCATAGGAATTCCCGAGAATATGGAAAAGCAAAATGGAGCAGAAAGTGTGCTTAACGAAATTATTGAAGAGAACTTCCCAAATCTAGGGATCGACGGAGAAATGTGTGTAAAGGAGGGTTTTAGATCTCCTAGATTTGTCAATGTAAAAAGACCCACCACAAGGCACATAATAGTAAAGTTGGCACATAGAAATGATAAGGAAAGAATACTCAGGGAAGTAAGAAAAAAAAAGAGAATAACCTATAAAGGAGCCCCTATCAGACTGTCAGCGGATTTCTCTACAGAAACCCTACAAGCTAGGAGAGAATGGAGTGATATATTCAAAGCTTTAAAGGATAAAAACCTTCAGCTAAGAATACTCTATCCAGCAAGAATTTCCTTCAGATATGAGGGAGAAATTAAATCTTTTCCAGACAGACAAAAGTTAAGGGAATGTGTAACTAAAAGCCCTCCATTACAAGAAATCCTCAAGAAGGCTCTCATACTTGAAAAAAGAAAAAAGGGAGAAAGGGGACACAATCCACAGACTAGGGAGACTGATGGATAGAACCAGAACAGGATAGCAAATATTCAACTATAGCATTAGGGTAAAAATAAGGAAACTACCAAAACAAGGACGATCTTAGCACTCTAACTACCAATTAATAAGATGAGTTGGAATAAAAAATGAAAATAATTATTTAGGAGGGGAAGAGCAAAGGGTCTAAATCAGTATTGGTCAAGTAAGTAAGAGACCACCAGAGAACAGACTATATTATACACGAGATTCTAAATACAAACTTCAAGGTAGACACTAAAATAAAGTACAGAACAGAGTCACAAATCATAGATAAGGAAAAATCTAAGAAACCCAGCATAAGAAATTGCACTATTAAATGGGTAGTCTAAAGCACACAAGAAAAGAAACAAAGGAAAACAAGATAATGAGCGACAGATTGACAGCATTAAGTCCACATGCATCAATAATCACTCTCAATGTGAACGGATTGAACTCTCCAATAAAAAGACACAGAGTGGCAAAATGGATTAAAGAACACGATCCAACAATTTGTTGCCTCCAGGAAACACACCTCAGCCCCAAGGACAAACACAGACTCAGGGTGAAGGGGTGGAGGACAATACTTCAAGCAAATAGCAAGGAAAAAAAGGCAGGTGTTGCAATTCTCCTATCAGACCAAGTGGATTTCAAAATAAGACAGGTAAAGAGAGACACAGAGGGATGATATATAATGATCAAAGGGACACTTCATCAAGAAGAAATAACGCTTATAAATATCTATGCACCCAACACAGGAGCACCAAGATTCATAAAGCAACTATTAACACACCTAAAGGAAGATGTTAAAAACAACACAATAATAGTAGGGGACCTCAACACCCCACTCACATGAATGGACAGATCATCCAGACAGAAAATCAACAAGGAAATAGTGGAGCTGAATGAAACACTAAAACAATTGGACTTAATAGACATATATAGATCACTTCACCCTGAAGGAGCTGAATACACATTCTTCTCAAGTGCACGTGGAACATTCTCTAGGATAGACCATATGTTGGGAAAGAAGGCAAGCCTCTACAAATTTAAAAAAATTGAAATAATAACAAGCATCTTCTCAGATCATAGTGCTATAAGGCTAGAAATTAATTACAAGAAAAAAGCTGAGAAAGGC